GTGACACCCCCCCCCCCAACCCCCCCCCCCACCCCCCCCCCCCCCCAAATCACGTTTAAACGTGAATAGCTTCTATGACGTCACGAGTTCGCGTTATCGGTGGGGGTTGGAGTTGGGGGGGGGGGACTAGCATTACATAAACCTTACTGTTTGGTCGAACAGCAGCAGCAACAGCAGCAGCAACAACAGCAGCAACAACAGCAGCAACAACAGCAGCAACAACAGCAATAACAACAGCAATAACAACAGCAATAACAACAGCAATAACAACAGCAATAACAACAGCAATAACTACAGCAACAACAGCAACAACAGCAACAACAACAGCAACAACAGCAACAACAGCAACAACAGCAACAACAGCAACAACAGCAACAACAACAGCAACAACAGCAACAACAGCAACAACAGCAACAACTCACCACAACATTTGCCCTTGATGATGTGCACGTGACTCGCGTCTTGCCATTACTCCTATCAAAATAGATATTTTTATTGCTTCATGTCATCATTGCCATAATTAGGTGTGGTCCCCCAACCCCCCATCTCCCCTCCCTCAAGTGATCGATACTTTCTTCTGTCGCATCCAGTTGTCGTGCACTTTTAACGCTCCAATCTGATCTGTTTGTTTTGTCGGGACTTGAGACCAACATGAAAGCCTCACAAAGTACGATTGCCTTACGCCCAGGCTACCGCCAAGACATTTCTACCATGATACGTTTGTGTTTGATGTGTATGATTAGTTCAGCGGTTCTCAACCTGTGGATCACGACCCCTTTGGGGGTCGAATGACCCTTTCAGAGGGGTTGACTAAGACCATCGGAAAACACATATACCCAACAGTTATGAAGCAGCAACGATAAAAATTTTGTGGTTAGGGGTCGCAACAACATGAGGCACTGTGTTAAAGGGTCGCGGCATTAGAAAGTTTGAGAACCACTGGATTAAGGGGTCGTATACCACATCCCTTATGCAGTGCCGTAAAAGGGAGGGAGTGCGGTCCTCCTGTGGAGGCCCTTTTTCCTCTTTATATAGGAGTGGGAGGCATTTTTCTGCGCACAAGACACAAGGCATATTTTTATTTAACTATCAATTGTTACTCATTATTGTGAGATGTTGAGTCTCTAATTGGCTAAATCCTATACAGTGTATTTTGTTGGTTTTTTTTAAAAAATATCCGCATTTGAGAGAAATTTTCTTTTGATGACACGATGGGACTTAAAATGACAAGCTCGATGCTGGCATGTGTGACAGCTGGAATATTATAGATTTCGGTGGTGTCCCCTTTCCCTTATCATTTGGAAATTTCTTTCCCTTGCCGGACTATAGGTTTTCTTTGATATCAAATGTGAGGCGGTCAGATACGCCATCTCTATGATAGGCTATTTTGGATGGGTAAGATTTACCTCATCTTTACGACAGATCATTTTTCGTGTGTAAGATAAGTCGGTCAAATAAGCTGGAAGCGGGGGGAGGACAAATCAGCACACTCTGATCAGATTTGACAGTTTTCTGGGCAAAATATCGTACAATGTACTATTATTTACTTCCACCAAAAAAAAAATAAAAAAATCTCGAATACAGACAAACTTATGTTCTGCTTCATGTACGAAGGCGATGTCGTAAGAAAGTCTAGGAACTGTCCGTCTGTCTAATACTGCAAGAGTGCAGGGTACTTAGTGCCTCGTCAGATTGTCACATGACCTGGTTTCGGATGATACCCGTTTTGGACAGGTGCTTGACATGACACACTTGTTAAGGGGCTGCGACGCCTGATACCACACTATAGGACCGTTAGACCGCGCGTCTTCATCGGGCACACTTCTTTTGTATACAAACTCTTACGAAGCAGCCCATAGCCGTTGTTGTGTTCCATTGCCATCAAGGTGATAGGGGAAATTTAATAACGTAATGCATGACATAGATGATCTTTTTGTTTTGTTAAGAAATGGTAAAAAAACCCACAAAAATACAGTTGGTATGGATAGAATATCTCATTTCAGGCCCGGGGCAATCAGCCGATTGTATTCACAGACCCCCCCCCCTTTTTTTTTTTTGCTTACTCCTTGGTGAAGAAGATTACATCTTGTTTTTACAATAAAATTTTAAAAAAACTAAAAAAACCAATCAGATGATACCGAAATAAAATACAGTTGGTATGGATAGAATATCTCATTTCAGGCCCGGGGCAATCAGCCGATTGTATTCACAGACCCCCCCCCTTTTTTTTTTTTGCTTACTCCTTGGTGAAGAAGATTACATCTTGTTTTAACAATAAAATTTTAAAAAAACTCAAAAAACCATTCAGATGCTACCGAAATTGTATTCTGTATGTATTCAATTGGTTAAGGCGATTGATAAATATGTCTGTGGACTTTTCACTTTCTAAGTATAGAAAGCGTAAAATTGAATAAATATATATATTTTTTTAAAGTTATTTGGATAAATGTTTGTTACATTTTTTTCCCCCAAATCCTTTAAATGTTCACATCATTTCAAAGTGTAGTTTTCGTTCTTTTCCGATGACTCCACGAAGAACAAGAACGTTAGCATTACAAGTTCATTCCTTGCCTTGAACGATGCGATTGTTTTATGCTCGTTCAATTCTCTTCTTCATATTTGGGTTACAAAATGATTCTATTCTAGGGGTTTAAAAATAAAATAATTAAAACGGTCAACGCGTTTATTCAAGGGAAAACAACTCACTGTCGCACAAAATCACCCAAGGGCAAACAACTCACTGTCGCACAAAATCACCCCCAAACATGTAACCCGAAACTACGTTGGTTTTGCACCGCCTCTGAGCTCAAACGCGAGACGAATGGGGTTCACTGGTGTGAGCAGACCCTGCGAGGTGAACTGAACAGGCCCTGCGTCCTTCCTGGGCTCGGTGCCCTCATTTAGGACGACCCTCACCTTCCTCAGGATGTACACCAGGGCCTCCTTCAGCTCCAGGTACGCCAACCTCATTCCCAGACAAATTCTCGGACCGTGCCCGAAGCAGACGAAGGCCAGCGGGTCCCTCCCCTCTTTGGCCTCGGGGAAGAACCGCTCGGGTTTGAATTTTTCGGGCTCTGGCCATAGCTTAGGGTCCTTCAGGATGTGGAAGAAAGGAACCTGCACGACGGCGCCTTTCAGAACGGTGACCCCGTTGTAGGTTTTGGTCTCCTTTGCTTTCCTGGTGACTATCGGCACGGGTGGGTAGAGCCTCAGCGTCTCGTTGATCACGGCCTCGGTGTAGGACAAGCTGTTCAGCTCGTCAGGACTGGGCGACGCGTTCTTGACAACCTTACAAACTTCTTCATAGACTTTTTCCTAGAAAAAAAAAAAAACAAAAAAAAAAAAAAAAAACAATTGGGATAAACGATGGCCGCTAATGAAAAATATTTAAAATTGACATTGAATGAAATGCGCTAAACAATTTTTTTTTCAATCAAACTCACAGTTTCATTTCAAGATGTACGTGTTAGGATTGGTCTAATCAGGATTATAGGAAAGAAATGTAATATTTTCCTCGCGGCCGGTGCTGCTGGTATATTTACTGATTGGATTTAAATGCGACCTCAATTCTGACCAAGTGCTGCGCGACGCAAGGTGTTCAACTCGGAGCCCCCCTTAAAAACTTGAGTCCAGATTGGGTTTTAAAGGGGAGCCGTGTAACGCTGTTTGAGACTCAAATTTTTACGGTGACATTTATTTAAGAAGTTAACTCGATCTTTTGAATTCACCTTTTTGGTCGTAATGCTGTTTAGCAAGACCGACGACTCACCTGTATGTCAGGATTTCTGGCCAGCGAGTACAGACACATCTGGAGAGCCGTGGCCGTCGTCTCCAGGCCGGCGAAAATGACCAGCATCGAGTGGCCGAGAATCTCCTCGTCCGTCAGCTCCGCCAATGCTTTGGTCGATCTCCAGCCGACAGCCTCGCTTTCATCCTCGTCTGCTTCCGGTCTACCCGCCTTCACGGCCTCGTTTGCTTTCAGCAGCAGGTCCAGGAAGTCGACGTGCGTCCTCTCCTTGCCCTCCCTCATCAGACGCCTCCTCTCGGTGACGGTCGCGTCCAGCGTAGACTTGAAGTATGCATTCGCGGTCAGGTTGATGGGCTCGAAGAACTGCAAGTTCTTGAACAGCTTGTTGAGATACTTGGTCGTATTGGGGTGGATCATGAAGAGGAGCTGTCTGAACAGAAGCGAGTAGCCTCTAATGCTCCACAGCATACTTTTGGCGTATTCGAAAAACTCCACGTCTCTCTGGCCGATGAAGCTTACGTTGAGCCCAAATCCAGTTTTGGCGATGACCTCGCAGGTGAAGCGTCCCGTGGTCTCCTTGATAGGGACCGTCTCACCGCTTTTCGCGAAGTCTTCGAGGTAGTTTGCCAGAGTCTCCGCTGATTTTTCCACGGTTTTCGCGATGGATTTCAGCTTTCCCGACGTGAATGTTGGCGACACGATCTGACGGTGGCGCCGCCAGCTGTCGCCCTTGGCGAAGAAGAGCGACTTGGCGAACGGTGACTGGCTGTTGAGCCCGTCGTCCCTGTCGACGAAGTTGTTGAAGTCTTTGATGAAGACGTGTCTCAAGAGGTCAAAGTTCGTGGTGAAGAGGCTCAGCCGTGATCTGTTCTTCACACCGACGACATCTCCGTACTGATCCAAGAGTGCGGATATGGGTTTCCTGAAATAGTAACGGCAAGAATGAAACATTTTAAGTAAAGGCTTTAGCAATGACCGTTAATGGTATTTTAACCAAGAATCTAATTTGGACCAATACGTAACTTTAAAAGAATAGTTCAATGATGGACCGAAGGAGACAAGGTCTCTATCGTTTCAATTTCTGACTTCCAATTTAAGTGTATGGGGATGTTTTAGCCATTCTTTCTATGTACCTAGACCCCGGTTTAAATTAAAACCGTTAAATTTCATTTCTATAATCATTTATGGATATAAAGAAAATAATTCAAAGATATACGCCGAGCCAAACGATTTTTAACCCTTTAAAAACCGGTCGGCCAAACTTATAAGAAACGCTGTAATAGTGTACTACTAATTCGCTAGAATTGACTGCTAGAATTTCGCTTGAAACAATCCAAGATAGAGGTATTAAAAGTCTTAGCTACTTTGATCTGTAGGATTGTACAAAAAAAAAGTGCTTACATACATTTTTCAAAATTCATTTGTGTCTAAATATTTGGAATACTGATGAACAGCCCGAGACACACCCCGTTTATTTTCAAGACACACCCCGTTTATTTTCAAGACACACCCCGTGTATTTTCAAGACACGACCCGTTTATTTTCAAGACACACCCCGTTTATTTTCAAGACACGCCCCGTTTATTTTCAATACACGCCCCGTTCATTTTCAAGACACACCCCGTTTATTTTCAAGACACGCCCCGTTCATTTTCAAGACACGACCCGTTTATTTTCAAGACACGCCCCGTTTATTTTCAAGACACGCCCTGTTTATTTTCAAACACATCGGTTAAAAACCATCGGCGGAGCCCATTAACGAGACCCACAACTTTTTTTTGTTCTGTGCTTTATTTATAGCTCCTATATCCATACATTAGTTCTGCCAATACGGGTATTGACATTTAGGTTTTTGCGATATCGGTAAATTAGTTCAGCAAATACGGGTATTGAAATATAGGTTTATGCGATATCGGTACGTTAGTTCTGCGAATACGGGTATTGAAATATAGGTTTATGCGATATCGGTACGTTAGTTCTGCGAATACGGGTATTGAAATATAGGTTTATGCGATATCGGTAAACTAGTTCAGCAAATACGGGTATTGAAATATAGGTTTATGCGATATCAGTAAACTAGTTCAGCAAATACGGGTATTGAAATATAGGTTTATGCGATATCGGTAAACTAGTTCAGCAAATACGGGTATTGAAATATAGGTTTATGCGATATCGGTACGTTAGTTCTGCGAATACGGGTATTGAAATATAGGTTTATGCGATATCGGTAAACTATTTCAGCGAATACGGGTATTGAAATATAGGTTTATGCGATATCGGTAAACTAGTTCAGCAAATACGGGTATTGAAATATAGGTTTATGCGATATCGGTAAATTAGTTCAGCGAATACGGGTATTTAATTATATGCGTATGCAATGTCGGTACGTTAGTTGTGCGAATATGGGTATTGAAATATATGCTTAAGAAAAAAAAGGTAATATTGTGATGAGTCGTTGTAGAGCACTCATACAATTATAAATGTACCTTTGTAAAAAAATTATCATAGACAAGAGTACAGCGGGCAAAAGCAGTGCAGCCACCAATTCACCCTGCTTTTAAGACACCCAAGGATAGAGATGTGAGACTGAATCCAGGCTAACTGAAGCTGTCGTTATTCCAACCATTTACCTACCCGTTTCGAAACTGGGCTCTGAATGAAAGTTTCAAGAGAAAAAAAAAATTCCCATTCGAGATGGGATTTCTAAGGCAAGCAGCACACGGTAGAACAAGAAGGGGCCGCATTCTAAACCGAGGGGAATAAGATAAATAGCCTGTGCCATCAAAATCTGCCTGTGTGTCTGTGTGTGTGTGTGTGTGGCTAAAACCACAATTTAATTGATTAGGACACCTGGTCAGAATGCCTGTCAACCAACCTGCATTGCGAGCGTACAATGGCAGGCACTCCGGTTTCAGATTCAGAGGAAGAAGATCACGCCGTCGGTGCAATGACTGTGTCAATAGGACACCCTAAATTTCCACCACATGAACCTTCAGCCATCCTCAAACCTTGCGTCGATCCATCAACAATATCTCCCCACTAAGGCCAACCCCCCCCCCCCCCCCAATCTCCACTCCCACCGAACCCACGCCGACTCTGACTGAAAAATGGGGCCACCACCAACCTGAAGTCGTCACCAAAGAAATAAAACGGTGACAGTGTCGGACACTTGACTCCGACTCTGCTCCAGTCGTCCCCACTGTCCCTGGTGTAATAGTAGTAGGCAACAGCTGCCAGTGACGTCAGGGCCAGGTACCCGGTCACCGGTGTAATCCAGGTGAGCGGCCAGATAGTGTCCATGGCTGATATAGGCGGGCAGTTATCCTTAAATGGAAACAATGGTAAAATTCTCACAATAATGATTTTTTTTTTAAACGAAAAAAAAAAAGGTTTTAAAACATTTAGTTCAAAGAGTATGTCTCAAGAAAGTGTGTTTATTAAAATACTTCACTTCATACTTTGATCCCCCACAGTCATAACACTTCTATTGCTGCCCACAGATACTACTTACCAGCTAAGTGCTGTTTCTTATTTTTATACCGTTTTTTTCTGTTGTTTTGTTCGCTGACGAAGGCTTTCTGCCGACACGTTCGCTGTTTTGTTTGCGTTTATTTTTTCAGGTTTAACCCTACTCTGTTTTACTCATTTTATTTAGTCATAACATAGATTGGTTTTATAACCAAATACAGTTAGGAAAATAAAAAAAATAAAAAATTAAAAAAAATTAATTGGCTGTCACTTGATGTTGAATGTGTCATGGGGGCAGATACCATCAGTTGAGAAACAAGAAAAACACGATTGATCCCTTTAAATACATCGTATCGAAACAGATTTACAGGCATCCACCTGTGTGTGCTTTAAGAAAGGACTTAACGTTGTTTTCAAAACAACAACAAAACAAACAAAAATACCCGAAAAAGCACGAAGTCTTACCTCAATAACAAGCTAAGCCTTAAAGACGTGCCCTGATCGGCTCGGAGTCTTACCTCAATAACAAGCTGAGCCTTAAAGATGTGCCCTGATCGGCTCGGAGTCTTACCTCAATAACAAGCTGAGCCTTAAGACGTGTTCTGGTGGGCTTGGCAATAACAAGCTAAGCCTTAAAGACGTATCCTTGTCGGCTCGATGTCTTACCTCAATAACAAGCTGAGCCTTAAGACGTGTTCTGGTGGGCTTGGCAATAACAAGCTAAGCCTTAAAGACGTATCCTTGTCGGCTCGATGTCTTACCTCAATAACACGCTAAGCCTTAAGACCTGTTTAGGTCGGTTTGATGTCTTACCTCAATAACAAGCTAAGCCTTAAAGACGTATCCTGGTCGGCTCGATGTCTTACCTCAATAACAAGCTAAGCCTTAAGACCTGTTAAGGTCGGCTTGATGTCTTACCTCAATAACAAGCTAAGCCTTAAAGACGTATCCTTGTCGGCTCGATGTCTTACCTCAATAACAAGCTAAGCCTTAAAGACGTGTCCTGGTCGGCGCGATGTCTTACCTCAATAACAAGCTGAGCCTTAAGACTTGTTTAGGTCGGCTCGGTGTCTTACCTCAACAACAAGCTAAGCCGTAAAGACGTGTCCTGGTCGGCTCGGGTCCCTAAAGATGATGAGATAGCGAAGTGGCGTTGCCAATTTATTGCATGATCAGTTCTTATCTCTTTCGTCTAAACACTGATTAAGATTGAAGATAAATATTCAATAATAGATATCGCGAAAACTTAGAGATAGATATTTTATGTGTGTACGTGGTGAAAATGGGTAAAAAAGGCTGGAGGTGGATGTGGATGACAGAGTAATTAGAAAGCCCAGTTGATTTCCAGCTTTGCATTAACAGAATATGTGGATTTAGTCTTGTTTACTCATTTGTGAAGCTAACCATGGGAAGTAGTTAAAATCTAGATGAGAAACTAACAAACAAGAATAAACCGAACTCGATAGATAGCAACAAACATGGTGTATAGTTTTCAAGCCCAGCTAATGGAGCTGAACCGGTACAACAATTAAAGATAGATCTATATTGGTTTAAAATAACAAAAAAAACGTGATCTTGTTGAAAGGAAACTTCAATGCAAAAAAAAATTTAAAAAATTGTAATACATCGTCAACTATATCGGTTTTTTAGTCCTAAATTTCAGCGGGCAACTTAACAGCTTGTTCTAAAAAAAAAAAAGAAAGACTAATAGTACTTGAGCCGTACCTATTGAATTGATTACAACATTACTAAGACTGTCTGCACGGAGGTCTTCTATTTATGCTCGAGACAATGAACTATATTTAGACAATGCGTCACGTCGTAATGAGGATGAACATAAATTTTGACACAGATTATATGAAGCCCTTGATTAAAATGTTTGTAAAATGTAAACACGCAGCCAAACTGGCAAAAAATGTTTCAGCTTTAGGCCTAATTTTTTTAAAAAGATTTAATTTAGCGTTGAATAGCTAGCTTGCCCTCCAATTTGATGGAGACCTATCCTCACATGCTCAGCCAAGGACTGCTGTGGTTAATTCTGAGGGTGGAGATTTAAACACGAATAACTTTGACGTGCACAAAAAAAAAAAAAAAAAATTGAAAAAAAGGGGGTAGGGGGGGGGGGGGTAGTAAAGCACTCTGACGCCAAAGGATTCTAATTAGATATAGAAGAAAACTTAAGTGTTTTTTTTTTAAAATATAATTTTGACAATATCTCTGCACAGACTTTCTTTGCGTCAAGAATTTCGTAGTTACAATACTTTAGAATGGCTCTGTTCCAACTCCTTAATTTATCACATACCACCCTCTATTTGACTGACTGAATTTTTGTATTTTTTTTAGTTGTTCTGCATTTGGACCGAATCATTTATTCACCATTTTATCAGTCGCATCCCGCGTTCCAGGTATGTCAAGGGTAGGTCGTTACATGTAACTTCATGTGCACTGTTCCACGAGTGTCTTCAAATTGGTCAGGGTATGGGGGTGGGATCGTCTCTTCAAAAAGAAAAAAACACAATTATCAGCTGATGTCAAATGCATGATGAACATAATGAGACAACATTACTCCTTTAACTGAGACATCATCTTCCAAGGTCAACCACCCTGCCCTCTGTTTGAGCCACAGGACTACATAGTCCTAACAGAACTAAGGGCTGCTACAGTGCTACATAGTCCTAACTGAACTAAGCACTGCTACAGTACTACATAGTCCTAACTGAACTAAGCACTGCTACAGTACTACATAGTCCTAACTGAACTAAGCACTGCTACGTTACTACATAGTCCTAACTGAACTAAGCACTGCTACAGTACTACGTAGTCCTAACTGCACTAAGCACTGCTACGTTACTACATAGTCCTAACTGAACTAAGCACTGCAAGGCTTTCAGTGCTACCGGATTCGCGCAAACCAAGGTGGACAACTCTGCACTGCTACGTTACTACATAGTCCTAACTGAACTAAGCACTGCTACAGTACTACGTAGTCCTAACTGCACTAAGCACTGTTACGTTACTACATAGTCGTAACTGAACTAAGCACTGCAAGGCTTTCAGTGCTACCGGATTCGCGCAAACCAAGGTGGACAACTCACGCAAACCAAGGTGGACAACTCAAGCCAACCAAGGCGGACAACTCACGCAAACCAAGGCGGACAACTCATGCACACCAAGGTGGACAACTCACGCAAACCAAGGCGGTCAACACACGCAAACCAAGGTGAACAACTCCCGCAAACCAAGGTGAACAACTCGCTCAAACCGAGGCGGACAACTCGCGCAAACCGAGGCGGACAACTCGCGCTAACCGAGGCGGACAACTCGCGCAAACCGAGGCGGACAACTCGCGCAAACCGAGGCGGACAACTCATGCAAACCGCGGCGGACAACTCACGCAAACCAACGGAAATAAATAATTCAATTATAACAAGAGGCAATCTACAAGAAGCAGAGTCTAAAAAGAGAATTGTGACGCCCCAGGGCAGTCCGAGAGTGGCCCCGCTGATCACCCACAAAAACCAGAGGAACAAAAAACCCCATTTATAACACACATCAAAGAAAGACGATAATTAATATGCCATGTTTTTGTATGAAAATCATATTTTGTCCGTCCAATAAAAAAAACAAACCCTTGAAACAATAATTTTCTTTTGCTTTGCAGTAAAGCCAAAACACCCACATAAAAGTGGCGCCCCTGGTTTTCCCCGCCCCTTCTTTCTACGCCAGAGCAACCCACAACGTGTATTTCAAATCCCACAAACAAACACAATTTTTTCCCCTGCATCGATGGTCCGTGGGGGTGGGGGCTGGGGGTGAGCACCAGTCACCGCAAGGCTGCAGAAACGAAGGACACCCCCTCCCCCACCCCCCAGCCCCTCTCCAACCATCCCCCATTTTACAACCCATCACTTACCTCTGATGACGTCTAGTTTAATGGAACCTACTTTTGTTAATGTCCTGGTTCCTGGATTGTTGTCCTATAATACACCAAACGATCCCCCCCCCCCTAAAATTACTTTGATGGCCGCGAGTCAGATCCGTAGCGGGGGCAGGGGGGGGGAGGGGGGGCAGATGTCCCCGGGCGCCAGCTATTAAGGGGCGTCAAAATATGCTTTGATATTATTTTATTGATGAGATTAACGGGTTTGAGAGTTTGAAAAAAGAAAAAAAGGGGAGGGGCGCTTTAAAATGAATCCTGTCCCCGGGCGCGAATCTTGTCCCCCCCCCCCCGGGCGCCAAACACTCTCGCTACGCCTCTGCCCGTGAGACCTGACAGTGGGCTCTTTCATCACTAGATCACAGACCACCGCTAAACACTATGCACAGGATTTTTTTTCGGGGTTGGGGGGGGGGTGCATTAAATACGTCTTTTTCTTTTCCTCCTTAAATTGGCTTTGCCAGCAGGTTCCATTACCAGAACCGAGTAAGGGCTTTAACTTCCAAGAGCCTGTAACTCCATCGTATTTTGTAAACGTTTAATGCTATAGTGGCCGCTATTGTTTTTGTTTTTTTTTTAAATTTGAGACTGACTTTTATCTGGCGTTTTATTTCGTAAAGGTGGGGGGGGGGCCCGCGTGGGGTAGGGGGGAGGTCTCTAACAAAGTTTTAATTGCAGATTAATGACAATGATAATGAGCAGACGATAATGGGACCACTGATGAGAGCGTGTCGTGTTGCCTCCTATCGCATTACGGTTCCTAACGTATCACGGTGTGGTGCCTATCATTCAATGCCATTGTCTCCACAGTCTCCACTCCACCTTCTATAAAAACTTAAGCATGCATATGAAGTCAGGGGTGCCCTTGCATATAATTTGCCCCGTATAGAATGTCAAAGTGCCCCTCAGGTCATGTTTCCTGCATTTGAATGTCAGGGCAACCCTCGATTAATGCTCAACGAATAGAATGTCATTGTGCCGCACCTACCAATGCCTTCGCACGTGAATGTCATTGTGCCGCGCCTACCAATGCCTTCGCACATGAATGTCATAGTGCCGCACCTACCAATGCCTTCGCACATGATGTCATAGTGCCACACCTACCAATGCCTTCGCACATGAATGTCATTGTGCCACACCTACCAATGCCTTCGCACATGAATGTCATTGTGCCACGCCTACCAATGCCTTCGCACATAAATGTCATAGTGCCGCACCTACCAATGCCTTCGCACATGATGTCATTGTGCCGCGCCTACCAATGCCTTCGCACATGAAGTCATTGTGCTGCGCCTACCAATGCCTTCGCACATGATGCCATAGTGCCGCGCCTACCAATGCCTTCGCACATGATGTCATTGTGCCGCGCCTACCAATGCCTTCGCACATGATGCCATAGTGCCGCGCCTACCAATGCCTTCGCACATGAATGTCATAGTGTCGCACCTACCAATGCCTTCGCACAAGATGCCATGGTGCCGCGCCTACCAATGCCCTCGCACAAGATGCCATTAGGTTTAGCCAATCGGTATGGGCTACAGCAGAAAATGGGCTTTTGCGTTGCCTATCGTATCATCATGGCCTTTATCGCATCATGGTCTTTATCGTATCATGGCCTTTATCGTATCATAGCCATCATCACATCACGGCATCCCCCACGTCTCACGTGCGGCACCATGTCCATCATACTCAAACGCACCCACGACCAAATAATTGTGTGTGTGTGTGGATCCATCTTCTAATTCCTACCTCAAAAAGCACCCCCTCCCCCCAAACCACCTTCTCGTTGCTACCCCGCATTATCCATAAACCCGGGGACATGTGACCATTATCTGAACATCTGACGCTCCAAACGTCAGCCACCACTGGAGCCCCCTTGATGCTGCCTTGCAGTGCCCCGATAGAGCGATTGAGTGGCAGAGATGAATGGCCCTCAATAGCATTGTCGCGGCACTTGTTAAACACGTTTAGGAACCTTTATTTATTCTATTTTTTGTCCTTTGGTATTGAACACTTGGATCATTCCAAAACAAATTTTATGAATAATGACCTAGGGGGCACATCAAGTAAGCCGCGCGCCCCCGAGTCTGAGCGATTGGAGACGGGTTCAAAGCCATGTGTTTCTAAATATATTTTAACCCGGAAACAGGACACATTTAAAAAAACAACTAACCATAAGAGATGCACTTGGAAATAAAACCAGGATCAGGAATCAAAGAAAGATCGTTGTCTGTAATGAACCTTAGTTTTGAGATTGATGTATTTTCTTCCATCATTCCATCCGTCAGTAGAACGGGCTCTGTGTAGGCTGTAGGACGGCTAGGACGCTGGAAGCCTAGAAAGGTGGGAGGCTAGTAGTTGGCCCATAGGAAACTCCACGTTTGATAGTTAATCAGTGGCTGGGGGGGTGGGGAAATCACTTTTGGTTAAACACAGAATGACGGCAATTTATAGTTTAAAGAAGCTGTGGAAAAAAAATGACTTTTGGCTAAGACAAAATGATAACTTAATAAAGATTTGAGGCATCCCCCCCCATCTCAACCCCCACCCCCGACTAGGACAAACAAACAAACAAATCTTGTGGGCTACTAGAGCGTAAAGGGACAAGCTCCTAAGAGGAAAGAACCCACTGGTTCAATAGTCTGTTTGAATTATTTTTAAAAGCATGTACTTAACTATTTTAAAAATGTAATTATTTTCTAAGTTATTTTGCATCTGGTAATTAATTTTTCACTTCCAATTTTTCTAACCTCAGTTTTTGGGCCGAAGGGCACGGCCCCAAGAGGGCAACTGGATCCTTATGATGATTACCCCCAATGTTATGTTGTGATCATGCGGTCCATTGTTTCGGTAATTTAGTTCTGTAGAAATGTCTTGTTTTATGTCATGGCGTGACACCATGGAGGGCACGCCCACTTGCCACGAGCAAAAAAAAAAAAAAAAATGGCAGACCTGCACAACATTCGGCCCGCGGGACGCATGCGGCCCGCCAGCACCCACTTTGCGGCCCGACAAGTAACACAAGTTTTCTTTATTCTCATTATTTTCTTAATGGCTTTCACTCCTGTCCTATTTTCGATTGCCCCGCACAAGCTTTTAATAATGCATTATGGCCCGCCTTACATTTTGAGTTTTGCAAGCCTGGTGTATTGACATATTGAACTAGAACCTCAACTTGTTAGTTATTGACCACAGCTACTGTCCATGACGCACTTTTCTTTCTGGTTGGGCAGGGGAAGGGGGTTCTTATAAAATTTCTGCCCGTCCTATAAGTGACAAAATATAAGACAATGGTGCGTGCATAAGAAAGTCATCATGTTTTTAATCTTTGAAAAAAACAACTTTATTTTTCAAAACTTCCACCCCCCCCCCTTACCAAATCCTGTTATAAACTGACTTAACATCAACCCCCTTGTACTTTAAAACTCTTTATTTTAACTTCGCTTTTGTGTGTTTAGGGCAGAATCTTGGGACGGCTAATCAACTATTTTCCCGTCAACTTATGAGTTGAAGTGTGGCACATGGACTCGTTCCGATGACAACACATTCTATCTAATTTTCAGCCCAGGACATATGACTAATTTTATGAAATAAAATTCCCGATAACCGCGCTAAATGAGATTCTTTTTTTAAAAAAATAATAATATCGCACGTGCATTTAATGCGTTATATTTTCTTTTTTTTTTTTTCTGAAACAGTTGGTGAAATAAATCTGCAGTGCCAAAAGCGGTTGCCTGGGCCATTATAATATCAATCTAAAATAAACTAATTTGAAAAATGCATATCAATGATTTTTATTCCAGAAATTTTTTTTTAGGGGCTGTTTAATTAGGGGCCAATTCATTAGGGTTCAATTCATCAGGGGGTCAATTCATTAAGGGGTTGTTTTAATTTCGACGAGGTTGCCGCGATATTTTGCTTCAAATTTTTTTTTTAAAAGTTCGAAAAATCCAAAAGCCAGACCCTTTGACCCTTTGAAACTTGTCCAATAAAAAAAAGCCCCAAACAAACAGAGAGAAAAGCACCAAAAAAAAAAAGACTAATTTCTATTTACAATCCCCACATTTGAGCGTTCAGACTTTAAAACTAAGTCATGGAACTTGGAATGGAGAGAGTTTCATCGACGTTAAAGGAACATAAACACGGTGGGGGGGTCACCGGGTGCGCTTTTGTCAGTGGCCCGGTCTTCAGACTGCCCAACCTGATCGCACTAGAAATGTTCCGCCCCCCTTATATTTCATTACCGGGGGCCCCCCCGACTGACATTCGTCCCTGACACACACTACGTCACGTCACGCAGACGGCTGACCTTTGATTGGTCAAATCAAATTGAAAACCCTCCAAAATTGCACTTTTTTCCCGCTCTCTTTTAAAAACAACTTTATTTTTTTTTCTGGGGCACGAACGATGTCTGTTTTGCCTGTCTCTTTGTCTGTTTTGTCTGTCTGTCTGTTTTGTCTGTCTGTCTTGTTTATTATAACTTTTTTTTTTTCGGAGACATTTCCACACAACTTCCTTACCTCAAAAAACAGTTGAATCGCAGGTTAGTCTCGAGAGACAAGTTAGATAACCCGTCAACGTTAGACTACGCCCCAAGGCTATAAATGTCAAGTTATATATTTGTTTTTTTGAGATAACAATGAGCAGAAAGTTTGTGATAAAATGCAATATTATTTTTGGTACTGCGAGTGTGAGAGGAAAAGGGCGATAGAAGGGCGATAAAAGGGCGATAAAAGGGCTTGGAATGTTCTGTTGACGTAAACTATGGCGTTCAGCTGAAGGAAACAGTTGAGCATGGTGTGTTGAAGCTTGAAATATAAAGAGAAAGGAGTAAGTTTCGGCCAAGAGCCTTCTTAAGCAGACAGTTCAAAAACTTAAAGTGTTTGTATTTCACCCATGATTGCTATGTTATTGCCGGAAGTTGGGGTTTCCAAAACAAAATATGCGCTTTATCCAATAGATTACAATCATAAAAGAATGAATTTATGTATTTATTCTTTACTGTTAAAAATAAGAATTTAAGCGGAAACAAATATTGAATTTTTTTTTAAATTTTCAAAATTAAGAAAACAAATACAGTGATACTGAGGATCACTGGTGGGTGAGTTGCGAGTGATTCCGTATGGTGATATTGTGTCGAAAACCTGAATTCATTTGTTTTCCCATCTAAGTCTGGGTCGTGTCTTGGTACAGGACATCAGTGCCGTGATGGAAACGTTCAGCCCCCCCCCCTTCCACCAAGTTATTGTTTAGGACGGTATTTAAGTTTTAAAGCTGTCCCAGATGTGGCTCTTAACATTCTCCTGATAATGAAAATAAAAAGTTTAAACAAAAGGAACACACAGAGTTGTATTCTTTTTTTATCTTAAATTATTTAAAATCAACTTCCTTCACAAAGCACAATGCACTGTTACCGTTTTTTTTTTTTTTTTTTCTGTTGAAGAAAATAGGGAGGGGGGGGGGGTGGCAATGAAGAGATTGTTTTTGATGTAAATCGTGCTGTTTAAAATAATTTCTTTAACTTATCTTGAGATAATAATTTTTTTTTGGAACTTATGATTTACATTGTTAACTATATAACAGTGACCTGGTCTGTACAAGTTTGTTTGAATTTAAATTAATTTTTTTTTTTTTTTTTTTTGGGGGGGGGGTGGTAGTTGGATATACGACATTTAAATAAATTCAGATTTATTGTCATTTATTTGGTCTCGCCGCACCCCATCCCCACAGTAGCAACTCACCAATTGTTTGTTTTTTTTAAATATTTTTTTTTTAATTAATGGAATATAGATCTGTATAAGATTTTTTTCAAAAGGAAGAGTAGTCCCAATAACATAAGGAGTGTTACAGAAGAGCAAAAGAATGGGCTTGCTGTAAATCTGATGTTACTGGGCGAGTAAGCGTAAGGCTTAGCTTTGAAATGCGTAAATCTTAATGTGTCTGTCTGTCATGGATGAACCGAATGAAAGAAGGGTCATTTTTCGAATACGATCGCTGAATGTTAAAATGTTCATTTTGTTCAATTTGTTCATTTTGTCCGCTGTGCCGAGTTCCTGTTTACATTCTCATGAATATTTGAAACGTTCACTACACACAAAGAATTCTTGGGCTCTTTGATATTCTTTTTTTTTTAAAATCTCTATTACTATTTGTGATTAAAAAAAAAAATTGTTTAATATCTGTACAAACGACAGCGACTTTAAACAGTAACAAACAATGACAGGTGATTTTATTGTAAAAGGCAATCCATTCTCAGTAAGGCACTGTGTAATTTTCTATCATTCTTTAACATAGACAATACATTAATTTTTGCCAAAAAAATTATTTAAAGAAAGCGTGTTTTATTACTAGTTTATTTCTCACTTGTTCAATATATTGTGTCAAGTTTAAACGACAGTGTTACCAAAGCAGATTAATTTTTGCGAAAACTTTCCTAAGGGTATTTTCGGCTTCACAGAACCGTTGTTGAAATATTTTTTTTTTTTTCCAAACTTTATTTAAGTTTTAGTTCGTGTCATCACTTGAGTTTGGTGTCTGGGTGTTATCTTGTCTCAGCTCGAAGGCCAACAAGACCGGCTTTACCGGGGTCAGCAGGCCAGAGCTCTTAACCTCGACGCCACCGGCCCCTTTCTTGGGTTCGGTGTTCTCATTGAGCACGACCTTGACCTTCCTTAAAATATGCACGAGGGCCTGCTTCAGCTCGAGGTACGCCAGGCACATGCCCAAGCATAACCTCGGACCCTGTCCGAAACAGATGAACGCCATGGGGTCGCGTCTGTCTTTCTCTTCGGGGGAGAATCTTTCGGGGATGAACTTCTCGGGCTCCGGCCAAATTTTGGGGTCCATGACGATGTGCCAAAACGGGATCATGACGCAGGCTCCTTTGGGGATCGTGATCCCGTCGTAGGTCCTCGTCTCCTTGGCCTTCCTGCTGACCGTTGGGATGGGCGGGTGCAGGCGGAGCGTTTCGTTGATGACCCACTCCGTGTAGTGTAAGTTGTTGATGTCTTCGGGTGACGCCTCTCCTTCGGGCAGGACGTTTTGAATTTCCGTATAGACTTTATCCTGAAATCAGAAAATGCTGATAGGTTTATAAAGATTTCACGTCTCGGCAAGTATTTGAGGATGTGTAAGGAGATGAATGAATTTTAAAAGAATGATATCTATTTTAGACCATACATAAATATGTTATACTGTACATGCCTTTCAAGAACAGACGGTTAGGCTAACTATTAAAAAAAAAACATGAATATTTCTTTATATAGAACATACAAGAAATAATCTAACTTAAAAGCAAACCTTCTGGGTTTCAAACGGTATGTTAAACTATTGATAGGTAGGTCGTTTTACCTGTACGGTACTTTTACTATTACTTACCTGTATTTCTGGATACCTTGCCAGTTCAAACAAACACATCTGCAGCGTCGTCGCCGTCGTTTCAAGCCCGGCAAAGATCACAAGCATGGAATGCCCCAGCATCTCTTCGTCGTCCAGATCTTTCGTCGCAACACCCTCTGTCCCGGCCAGGGACGCGTTGCCCTCCTCATCTTTCTCCGGATTACCCGCCCTGACAGCCTCATTAGCCTTCAGCAGCAGGTCTAAGAAGTCCACGTGCTTTCTCTCTTTCCCGCTGCGCTGTTGCATTTTCCGTTCGGCGATGGTTGAGGTTAAAACAGTTTTGAAGTACGTGTTGCTCGTGAGGTTGACCGCGTCGAAGAGCTGAACAGATTTAAACAGCCTGTTGCAGGTGTCCACCAAGTTGGGAACTCGATGCATGGACATGAGAATAAACCTCGAGATACCCTCGTACGATAGCATAAGCATGTTCTTGCCGTGCTCGAAAAATTCCGACGCTTCCTCCTGTATGAAGTTAGCCTCCAAGCCAAACGCTATTCTGGCGATGACCTCGCACGAGTAGCGGGCACTCGTGTCCTTGATGGGCACCACCGCGCCGTCTTTCGCGCGCTGCACGAGATAGTCGGCGAGCTTCTTGGCCGAGAGCTCCACCGTCTTGGAGATGTATTTGAGTTTCCCGGAGCTGAAGGTAGGGGACACAATCTGACGTTGGCGGCGCCAGTGGTTGCCCGTGGCAAAGAACAGAGATCTGGCGATGGGCGTGTTGGAGTTGAGCGTGTCGGCGCGGTCCACGAAGTTGTTGAAGTCCTTGACCATAATCGTTCGGAGAAGGTCAAGGTTGACCGTCAGCAGCCAGAGCCTGCCGCCAAGTCTGAGGCCGACCGTGTCGCCGTATTGCTCCAGCAGCTGGGATATCTTCAGCCTGGAGAGGTGATGTTGGTGTTAAAAAACAAAGCAGTAACAGTGATGCAATTATAAATAAAGGAAGTCATGTAGCTCCTTAAGTTCAATAAAATTCCGAATGCACGCATACATACACACATACATACCCATACACACATAATTATACGCACACACACACACATACATATATAAATATACACACATTCATACACGTACACATGCACACACAAACACACACACACACACACATACATAAACATACAAACATGCACGTTCGCACATACACATGTACACACGCGCACGGTCACAAACATTCACACACACACGCGCACGGTCACAAACATTCACATACACGCGCGCGCGCGAACAAACACAAACACACACACGCATGTTCATATGCACACACACGCACACATATACACACATGCTCACGCACACACACACACACGCGCACATACACGCTTATGCACACTAACGCACGCACCCACACATACATGCACATACACTTTGAGAGCTTCAGAGTGCTGAAGATAAGTACTTGTGCTTCACCACTTGAAGAAAACAAACACTTGGCATGGCATCCATATTGTTATCACTTTGCCATTGTTTGTAAACACATTCAGATAACTTGAGCTAGAAACGAGGAATTTGTTAAGGTAGCATATAACCTCAATTTGAATAGATTTTATCCCTGTACATTCCTGGAGTAGCGCTCAAGGCAATGTCACTATGTATGTAGTACCCAAAAAAAAAATACAGGAAAATTCCAATTACCGGGAAACAACCTTTGGAAATATGAATGGGAGATACGAGCTAACGAACCTGAAATTGCTACCGCCGAAAAAAGTGATCGGCAGCTTCGGAAATCTGACCCCTAGCCTCGACCAGTCGTCGTCGCAAGGTTCCTGGCTGCTGGGTCTGTAGAACAGGTACCAGGCAACAGCTGCCGTCACGGCGGCAGCGGCCAGTAACAAGGTGGCTGCCGTGCTGCAGGTCAACAGCGACACGACCGGACTGATCAGGTGGTCTGACAGCGCCATGTCGGGAGCTGTTTAACGTGTTTTGCTGTTTGGAGGAAGTTTATCATGTGAATACAAAAATGAGACTAAAAAGAAACTAGACAAACCACGCGTAGTCATAAAGGGACCTTAAAGTACGGAGATTATCATTGCCGACTTCAGAAATTGTGCTCAAATAGGATCATTCGCAAAATAAGTAAATGTAAAATAAGCCGTCTGAAGAGTCATTTTGCGTTTGATATCACGAGAAAGACGAGGAAGACTTCTCTAAATATAGACATGCAACGGAATTGTGCATCCAATTGTGCATCCGCGATGCAGAGTTATGAAGTCGATCGGGCAACCCTACTGTGACATCAAAAAATTGTTCTAAAGATAATTATTTAGTTTCATTGGCTGCTTAGTAATCACAGACCCCAAATTCTAATCATTTAAAAACAAAAAAAAAAAAAAAACAATTTAAAAAAAACATTTCACATTTCTATTTTATTATAAAAAGGGCAACCCTACTTTGAAATCAAAAAATTGTTCTAAAGATAATTATTTAGTTTCATTGGCTGCTTAGTAATCACAGACCCCAAATTCTAATCATTTAAAAAAAAAAAAAAAAAAAAAAAACAATTTAAAAAAAACATTTCACATTTCTATTTTATTATAAACTACATCATTTTTGTATGAGACACAAATCATGTATTATTTTTTTAAAAAGAAAACAACATACTCTCAAAACCAGTCATCTCTTAGGAATAAACACTTTTCTGGTTTCCGTAACGATATATACTTACCAATGATCTCTCAACGTTTAAGTGTGTTAAAATTCAAAGCAACAAAAACGAAACAAAAAAGCCGTGTGATTATTGTGACGGTGCAGTCATACAATACCATTCGAAACACTTGAAGAGAAGTATTATTTCTTATTATAATATACTTATATTATATATTTGTATCCTACACATCAAGAAGTGGGCATACAACTGACCTGTACCCTCAACCGGAAATGAGACAGTATAAAGACGTCACAGCGACTTATAAGTCATCGCCCGGCAGGCACACTGAGGCCCTACTATTCACCAGATGCGTGAGGCTGAGTGTGACCACTGGAGAGATAACCGTAAGTGTTGACTGATTCCGTGACCCTAACCTGGGGTTGGGTAGCTGGAAACAAAAAAAATAAGCAGTCATCACTGGAACCCATATCTTTACGAGCCGTAGATAACAGGTGGAGTGTCATAGGGATTGGGTGCTGAGGATGCCGGTTCTCTCCCCCCCCCCGGGGCGGCACTTACACTCCTGACATGGAGGGGCCACATTTTTCAGCCAACTGCAAAGTTGTTTTTGTGGAGAGGGAGGGGGGGAGTCGGCAAAAAAAAAAGCTTTGCCCACCCCAGCCGGAAACTAACACTAACTACGCCACTGTCGCAGGGGTAGGAAAAACTTCTGGTAAAACTGGGCCGAAGAAAGATTTCTAATTGACTGAGCGGACCAACAGCCTTGCAAAACATGCAGTTCTGGTCGCGTGCTAGTATTACTTTGGTCTCTTGCTAGTATTACTTTGGTCTCGTGCTAGTATTACTTTGGTCTCGTGCCAGTATTACTTTGGTCGCGTGATAGTATTACTTTGGTCTTCCGCGCGCCGTTGACAATGATGTTGCCCCTGCGGCAGTTTGACCCACGGGTGCCTCGTCCTCGCATGCCGTATGTTTCCGGCCCTGGGTATATGATACATATTTTACTAGTACTTACCCGTAAATATCTAAGTCAAAGAGAATACGTTTATTATAATATACATTTTCACTATTCAAATTTTTTTTTTTAAATTTTAACTCAGTTTGTAACCTAAGTTTTTTGTTGTTTTTTTTAAATCGCCAATAACGATGAATTATCAAACTCTACGACCAATATATATATATATATATCTAATTACGAAGATAGGAACAAACATGAATTTCACTTGAAATAGAACTTTGAATGTAATGGTGACAGCTTTTCCAGAGAAAGTGGGATCACTAGAAAATTCATTTTTTTTTAAAAATATCCGTCACCGTCTGTTTATAGACGCTATTATTATTATATTATGACTTTTATGTTTCTTCAAACTAATTAGATGAAGAATTTTTTTTTCTCCCGCAAAGCAGCAGTCAGTGAGACCCTAACTGTTATGACTTCAAGAACGACTCAACTTAAGTAACACAAAGAACGTAGCTTTAAAAAAAAAAATAATCAGTGGCCACATCGGATTATTATTTACGTATTTAACGAAACCAATGGTAAAAGGTCAATTAAAAAAAAAATAAAATAATTTAGTTTTTACACTCTCGCCAAATATTACTATGTCCAGAATAAAAATAAAAAAAGTAAATTGCTAAAGGGAACCAGGTAGGTCGTCTTGTCAACTGACTATTTAAGTTTTGGTTTTATCAATAGCAGCCTTGTCCCGATTTCTTTCATGGCGGGTTTTTTTTTTTTTTTTAAATCTCACATGGTGACACCATTTTATGACGTTTTAAGGTACCCCATTTGTACTTTACGCGCCTTGACAAAGAAAATAATCTTATTGTTTGCAACGTCCAGAATCAAGTTGACAAAATAATAAAAAAAATTGAAGGTTCATTTTGTTATAGATGCACAAACAACAATTTTCAAATTGAATTCAATGTTAAGTTTAAAAAAAAAACAAAAAAACAACAACATATTCTTTATGTTAATAAATTTACCATATAAATATTTATTCTGATATTCCCAACTTACGTTTAAACATTAAATAATTGAACACAAAATCGCTGTTTTCTTGATATTTTTCCATTAATTTAATTTTTTAATATGTCGATTGCCCCAAAGAGTAAAGAAATCAGGACATTGCATTTTTTTAAAAACTAGGACTTCGAAATTTAATGATAATGCTAATGCAATTTATTGGGAAAAAAAGTGCAAATATCAATAGAATTTTACTTTAATGCAGATGCATTAATGAATTAAATTATGATTTATGTTATACATTTTTAATAACCAAAAAAAAAAAAAACTATACCTTTAATACTATTTTACAATGTAGTACAGTGTAAAAAACGTATAGTAAATAACTATCTTTGATTTATTTTCTTTAAACTTACTTTTCCTATGTGCTTTATAAAAAGAGATTTGTAAACGTTAAAGAATACTTCTACGGACCCGATGTAGCGTTAAATATCTGAAGAGAAACTTAATTGAATGCTCGCATGAATGAAAAAAAAAATATATATAACTTATAAAAGAGTAAATATTATTTCCAAAACTACACATGCTTAAAAAAATTATGGACCAGTGAATTCGCGTAATGTTCTATTCATCTGCTGGGATTTCATGTTCTCGCAGCTCGAAGGCCAACATTACGGGTTTTAATGGAATCAGCAGGCCAGCGTTCTTCGCCTCAAGTCCACCACCGCCTTTCTTAGGTTCGGTTCTATCATTGAGAACTACCTTGACCTTTCTCAGCACGTGCACGAGGGCCTGTTTCAGCTCGAGGTACGCCAGGCGCATGCCCAAGCATAACCTCGGACCCTGTCCGAAACAGATGAATGCCATGGGGTCGCGCCTGTCTTTCTCTTCGGGGGAGAATCTTTCGGGGATGAACTTCTCGGGTTCCGGCCAAACTGATGGGTTCATGAGGATGGCGCCGAGGGGAATCAAGACGGAAGCCCCTTGGGGGACGGTGACCCCGTTGTACGTCCTCGTCTCCTTGGCCTTCCTGCTGACCTTTGGGACGGGCGGGTGAAGGCGCAGTGTTTCATTGATGACCCAGTCCAGGTACTGAAGGCCGCCGAGATCTTCGACTGAGGGCTTTTCCGTTGTAATGACACGATCTATTTCCTGGAAGACTTTTTCCTGAAAATGATTTACCGCTTGCTCAGATTAAAATGAAATTTTAAAAATAAAAATTAAATTAAATTAACTCTTTCTTCAAGGGTGTCTATTCCAGAAGTTCGATTAAACTATGCGAATCATGTTCATAATATAATTGCTTTCTAAAATTTTTACTATTTCATATTCCTAGACAGTTTCAGTGTTACTAATAAACCAACAAAGACATGACTGTTATCTTCTTACTTGTATATCTGGGTTCTTGGCCAACTCAAACAAACAGCACTGGAGGGTGGTTGCTGTTGTTTCAAGTCCAGCAAATATCACAAGCATGGAATGGCCCAGCAACTCTTCATCGTCTAAAATCTTGGTCACAACATCGCTGGGAGCGCCCAGGGGCAGACTACTCTTCTCATCATTTTCTTGATCACCGGCCTTTAAGTTTTCATTGGCCTTGAGGAGAAGGTCCAAAAAGTCCACATGCTTCCTTTGTTTCCCACTTTCCTTGAACTCTCTCCTCTGGGCGACGGCCGTGGTCAAAATGTCATTAAAATATGTGGCTGCCTTAAGGTTGACCACGTCAAACAGCTGAACGGATGGGAACAGCTTGCTACAGGCTTCAACAAGGTACGGGATTCTATGGAGACAACCGAGAATGATGCTCGCGATCTTGTCTCGAGAAAGCATGAACATATTGATGCTGAAACTGTAGAATTCCGAGGCTCCTTCCTTGATGAAATCGGCCTCGAAGCCAAACGCTATTTTTGCAATGACTTCACACGTGAAGCGCGAGCTGATTTCTTTAATGGGTACCAGCGTCCCGTCTTTGGCCTGCTGCATTAGATAACCCGCGAGCGTCTCGGCTGATTGTTCCACTGACTTGCTGATTAATCTCAGCTTGCTGGAACTGAAGGTAGGGGAGACGATCTGGCGGTGACGGCGCCAATGGTTTCCCTTGGCGAAGAACAGAGATTTGGCTACGGGCGTGGCGGAGTTCAAGCTGTCGGCGCGGTCGACGAAATTGTTGAAGTCTTTTATCATGATGAACCTAAGCAGGTCAAGGTTGCTCGTCACTAGCCAGGGACCGGTGTCTTGATGTGTACCGAACGTGTCGCCGTACTGCGCGAAGAGATCTGATATATTTTCACTGTGGATAACATTGCAAAAAAATCTGATCACATTTGATATCTATCTAACTTGATTGCGAGTAGAGTATCACAATGACTTAGTAGAAGTGCAGCATGTTTTGTGGCTTAAGAGCGGTGCAGTTGTGTGTCAAAAAAGTTGACCTCTGCAGTGAAAGTCTAAAATACTATTCAGTCCATATTTGCAGTAACAGTCTTCAGTACTCTTCAGCCGAGATTTGCAGTAACAGTCTAAAGTACTATTCAGTCTACATTTTAGGTGAATATTTGAGGATTCCAGGCGTTGGCAGGGATGACTTTATACAGATCTCCCAAACTCCCTCTCATTGTCCTAAAAACGCGAAAAAAAGGAGACACTAAATGATTTTTAAAAAATATATTTTTTGCTATATGGGTCATCTGTATTCTTTCAGGCTGGTGGTACGTAACTTAGTGATAGTCTCTTACAATCTAAATGCACTTTTTAGATGTTCAAAGTGGCTTAACTATTAAAGGTGGTCCAAGTTTTACTACACTTTAAGAATCCCTGTGGTATTTTAATCGTAAAATCCTCCTTTGTTCTGGGGGGGGGGGGTAAAAGTCTTGAAGACAAATGACTGAAGACAAGTGACTGAAGACAAGTGACTGAAGACAAGTGACTGAAGACAAGTGACTGAAGACAAGTGACTGAAGACAAGTGATTGAAGACAAGAACTGAAGACAAGTGACTGAAGACAAGTGACTGAAGACAAGTGACTGAAGACAAGTGACTGAAGACAAGTGACTGAAGACAAGTGACTGAAGACAAGTGACTGAAGACAAGTGACTGAAGACAAGTGACTGAAGACAAGTGACTGAAGACAAGTGACTGAAGACAAGTGAACGGAGACAAGTGAATGAAAACAAAGGAGCGAAGCCAAGTGAATAAAGACAAGTGACTGAAGACAGGTGACTGAAGAAAGGTAATGACTGAAGATAAGTGAATGAATACAAGTGACTGAAGACAAGTGACTGAGGACACGTGAATGAACACAGAAAACAAAACAGATGGATAGAGGTACACTTTTCATTCAAGCACTTCCTTTTACACGCAAACTATTATTGATTGTTGCTTGTTATGTTCACCTTTTTTAATTGTCATTTTGTCATTTTGAGACAGTTCACCAGTTTTATTTGACTGTCGCAGGATCGTGTGACAGTTCACCGGTTCGATCTGACTGTCGCGTGGAAAATGCTCGACAACATTTGCAAAATTACTTCTTGAGAAAAAATGAATGATGAATGTTACCAAATCACTCACCTCAATTGGTCGCCGAAGAGGGATTTACTTGGCACGTCCACGTGTTTTATCCCAATCCTTCTCCAATCAACGTTCGGCTCCCTGTTCTTGGATCTGTGCATCAAGAGCCATGACGCGGCCAAGGCGCTTGCTGCTGCAAGAGCCATGTACGCCGCTGTCGCGGTGCCGACAGACACCAGAGCCACCAAAGGTGAAGTCACTAGGGCCAGAAGAAACATTTCTAACGAGACCACTGTTCTAGCATGGAAAACAAAACAAGTAAAATGAAAGTTACAATATTAATCAGAAGCAAATTAAACACGACTGTTGTGGCATGATAGCTAGATGCACGGAAACGAATAGCAAGAAGCACATTAAACACGACTGTTGTGGCATGATAGCTAGATGCAAGGAAACGAATAGCAAGAAGCACATTAAACACGACTGTTGTGGCATGATAGCTAGATGCACGGAAACGAATAGCAAGAAGCACATTAAACACGACTGTTGTGGCATGATAGCTAGATGCACGGAAACGAATAGCAAGAAGCACATTAAACACGACTGTTGTGGCATGATAGCTAGATGCACGGAAACGAATAGCAAGAAGCACATTAAACACGACTGTTGTGGCATGATAGCTAGATGCACGGAAACGAATAGCAAGAAGCAAATTAAACACGACTGTTGTGGCATGATAGCTAGATGCACGGAAACGAATAGCAAGAAGCACATTAAACACGACTGTTGTGGCATGATAGCTAGATGCACGGAAACGAATAGCAAGAAGCACATTAAACACGACTGTTGTGGCATGATAGCTAGATGCACGGAAACGAATAGCAAGAAGCAAATTAAACACGACTGTTGTGGCATGATAGCTAGATGCACGGAAACGAATAGCAAGAAGCACATTAAACACGACTGTTGTGGCATGATAGCTAGATGCACGGAAACGAATAGCAAGAAGCACATTTAAAGTCAAGACGGTGATAATTTTAAAATCGTACATGTTTTACCAATCGTTTCAATTTGGCGATACTCTTAATGAGTATCGTATCAGGACTGTGTATGCTTAAGGAATGAGGTATCGTTGGCCTGTTTGTATCTAAATTCAATATCAGTTAAACCCGAGGTAAAACAAAAAATAATCAATTTATAAGGCGCAGAGTGGCTGGCACACCGTGGCCTAATTGAATGGTGCGGTCATGAGATGCTGTACACTCTTAGATACGTCAAGTGGGGTGCATTATATCACATCTAGTCATAAGCCCCCACACATCTGCATGTTTTCAGTGAGGGCAGGAGCGAAACCCGTGGCCAACTGCATGGAATTTGCTTGGAACACCACCATTTCATCGGTAGGGGTTTATTTGTGTACCTCTTTACCCTATGCCAATTTAGTGTTGAGACGTCTATACAAGAGCAACGGGATACTTTCGCCGGAACGAGCTCAGTTTGAACTGTTTTTTGCTTTTCGTGATCTTCTTCTAATCTAACCCTAATCTACTTTATAAAAACAGTAGACATTCGAGCCGAGGCTCACGAAGTCTTCCCCAAATGCGTCCCCCTGTAAACCCAAATGGCCATCAACTACTCCCCCCACCTACCCACCCCTCCACCCAGGAGTCTTTACTCAAGTCCGGGCCGCGAAGCTTTCCGCCCCTGAGACAATCTCACCCACTCTTGATCTTCTTTTAAATTTGGAAATTGTTTTTTTAAACATTAAAAATCGGATTGTTCTTCAGATAAAAAAAAAAATATATATCATGTATTCGTCAGTTTATAACCAGGCGTGCTTCTGAGTCTCGTCATTGGAGAATAAACACAAGGTCAAGGGGGTCATTATTGAAGGAAACCTTATTTCGTTGCGAGGTGGATACATCAGCGTGTGGCAAAGTTATCTCAATCATTGCTCGTGTTTTACGTGGATGGCGACTGTTGGTTATGTAGAGAATTTTTAACGGGCCGATGGTATTAGGAGAACAATGCGAAGCCATTCAGCACTCGTTTTATGTGGAAAGCGAACTGCTCCAAAGTACTGTTGGTATAAATAAATATGTGTGTGTGAGTGGGTGTGTATGTGTGTGTGTGTGTGTGGGGGGGGGGTGTACAGCAATCTCAATGTGTTCTTGAAAGTTAGCAAACTCCTAAGATTGTTACGACATTTTAAAAGATCGGCTCCAAACCATTGACATCCGCGTGCCTTAAAATTAATGCTTTTATTATTATTATTTTTTTTTTTAAAAATTGGTTAATTTTGGCATCCACATCAACATCAACAACAAAAATGTATTCACCAACTAACTGTTACTATGCACATTTTTAACATCCATATCCATCCTTGACATGGATTCGTTCGTGCCCGCTAAGTTTTTTGCGTTTTCCCTTTCTTTTATGTATGGCCTTCATCCCTTTTAAATTGGATTTAGTCGCGAGCGATTGGGCCATATGATCAACCCCCGTGGGGCCCAAGATCCGAGACCTAATTAAAGATCTAAAGCTGGCCAAGTCTAAAATAGCACAGCATGGGCCGCTCTCGGAGAAGCACCAAAATCAAAAGAGTTCTCTGTGTTCACACTTGGTGAGGCGAAAATCAAAAGTGGTTTCTGTGTTCACACTTGGAGAGGCGAAAATCAAAAGTGGTTTCTGTGTTCACACTTGGCGAGGCGAAAATCAAAAGTGGTTTCTGTGTTCACACTTGGTGAGGCGAAAATCAAAAGTGGTTTTCTGTGTTCACACTTGGTGAGACAAAAATCAAAAGTGCTTTCTGTGTTCACACTTGGTGAGACAAAAATCAAAAGTGGTTTCTGTGTTCACACTTGTTGAGACACAATTCAAAGAGTTTTCTATGTTCAGAAACGTTGAGACAAACATCCCCAAAAAAATGTTCTGTGTTCATAGTTGGTGAGACAAACATCCCTAAAAAATTTCTGTGTTCATAGTTAGTGAGACAAACATCCCCCAAAAATGTTCTGTGTTCATAGTTGGTGAGACAAAAATTAAAAAAAAAAATAGTGTTTTCTTGAGCGGTTTGGGGAAGATGAGGGTGGGGGGGGGCGCGGCGGCGTCTCAAACTACAATTTATCATCCGGTTTAATAATTTGTTTATTGAAATAGAACATCAATGACAGTTTTGGTTTGTCCATAAAGGCTAATTTTAACGTCTAAACATTAATTTAAAAAAATGTCCATAATGAAGAAACCAAACTGTTCAGCGTGAATCGCCAATCTGAAAAAATACGTAATCGATTATTTTATTTTCAAACTTTTTGAAGGCTTTTCAGAATACTGTATTTGTGTCAGGTCACCTATTTCCTTTTTTGTTTTGTTTCGTTTTTTTACAAAAAATTATTATAATTATTATTATTTAAAATCATGTCATTCTGCGCGGTGGACTTATGACGATGATTATGAGTCGTGGGAGTTGATGCCCCCCCCCCCCCCAGCCCCCCCCACCCCCCCCCCCCCCCCCCATATTGTACATCCCTTGTTCGAAATTCATATGTTATGATAATATGTCATTCCGGAACAACAGCTCTGTGCTTTTGATCATAGCACGCATTGGAAAATTTAAGCTTGTAATACTTGAAGCTGGTAGTCGTATGATGATTGGTTGAATGGCAATGTCTATCATTGTATTAATGAGGTGGTTGTTACGTGGCATTTGTGGAAGGTAAGAGTGTCCGAATAGTTACTTAGTGTAAACAAAATGATTACTTAGTGTAAACCGAACAGTTACTTGGTGCAAACCGAATTATTATTTGGTGTAAACCAAATAGTTAGTTACTTAGTGTAAAGCAAATAGTTACTTAGTGTAAACCGAATAGTTATTTGGTGTAAACCGAATAATTACTTAGTGTAAAGTAAATAGTTACTTAGTGTAGACTGAATAGTTATTTGGTGTAAAACAAATAGTTACTTAGTGTAAACCAAATAGTTACTTAGTGTAAACCGAACAGTTACTTAGTGTAAAGTGTTGTAGGGTTTTCTTTCATTTTTATTTTGGAAAGGTTGGTGGGGGGGGGGAGTGGTGTTGAGTAACTGATTCATTTTTACTAAGAATGAAAAATTGAATGACTGAATTAATGTTCTGAAATGCAGTGCTTGGATAACATATCCATTAATGTTAATTTGATGTGGATAGCTGTGTCAAGTAGATCGATGGATCATTCATTGCTACTTGAGTCATCGTTTTTGTTGTTGTTTTCTTAATGATAGTGTCTGTAATTGATCTATTAGGTAATTGAGTGATGTGTATGCTTTCAACTTTGTCTTGTATGCGGTGAAGATGACTGAGGGTAACTGGGTGATCTATAAAGTTGCCGGGATTTGGTTTATGATTCGTGTGGTGTGGGGTTGGAGCGGTGATAGGGTAAATGAGTGATCCGTTGCGTGACTTACGCTCACATGAGCAAATGTAAGGATGTCTAGTGGTCTAACCGGCTGAGATTAAGATTAACCAGTTCATCTGGCTTTCACCAGTGGGGTATCGGAATGAGCCCGGGTATCTGTGGTGTAGCCGGTTGATGTTTTGGGGGGCAACTGGGCGTTGGTCTTCAGGATAGGATCGATATGCCTTACCGCTGGATGCTGCATGGCATTGAATTATTCATGGCCACCAGCCCGGGCTCTTGACTCTTGGTAGATGTGGGTTATTCTTGTGCTAAAACGCAGCTTCTGGAATAACAAAAGTAGGTTAGTCGTGGACACAAAAGTAAGGTTCTGTGGTAAAAAAAGTAGGTTAGTCGTGGACACAAACGTAAGGTTCTGTGGTAACAAAAGTAGGTTAGTCGTGGACACAAACGTAAGCAGGACACCCCAGAAGCAAAAAATATATATCTAATAGATAGTACTCACCAACAAACACTACTGGAAACTTTAACTGAAAAACCTGAGTGATATTTAGAATAGACCCTCTTAAATCTTTAAAAAAAAAAAAAAAAATAACTTAACAATTTTTTTTGTGCTAATGTGACGGTATTACTTTGCTAATGTGACGGTATTACTTTGCTAATGTGACGGTATTACTTTGCTAATGTGACGGTATTACTTTGCTAATGTGACGGTATTACTTTGCTAATGTGACGGTATTACTTTGCTAATGTGACGGCATTACTTTGCTAATGTGACGGCATTACTTTGCTAATGTGACGGCATTACTTTGCTAATGTGACGGCATTACTTTGCTAATGTGACGGCATTACTTTGCTAATGTGACGGTATTACTTTGCTAATGTGACGGTATTACTTTGCTAATGTGACGGTATTACTTTGCTAATGTGACGGTATTACAATAACAGAATTCACATATATTTTCATCACACTGCTAATCCAGCTTCACAGAATTGAGGAAACTATTAATTTGCTAATACTGCAGAAGAAAAAGGGGCGAAGTTCTAACCGGACTTACACCTATCACAATGTCCGAGTCCTAAATCAAAAAAAAAAATAATTCAAATCACTGTGTGGGGGAACAAGCACAACAACCACAGCATCATCAACAACAACATCAACAACAACATCGGCAAGCTGTAGCCCCCCGCGAGAAAACAAGTCCTCTCCCAAGGGAAGTAATCTCATGCAATTAGGGACTGGAACTCCCGTCATCTTTCTTTTGGCGCTCTCATCTTCACCATTTCCGGTGCCTCCCTTTAATCTCCTGAAATGTTCGCTTTTCAATTTGACGAATTTTACACGGGCACATTTCTCTCTTTTTCACAATTTTTTGTCTTCTTTCTTTATCTACACCGACTCCCTGCTTTGAGTTTTTAGTTGTCCATTTTCCTCTTGGTCTTCACAACCTCAGTGCCTTGACAAGCCAGGGGGGGGGGGCACTGTTCTCCTCTGAAGAAAATGATTTTCTTAAAGAGAGAAAGGAGAAGAAACGGGAAGTAAAAGGAAAACATGAAAAGACGGCTGGCAAGATGGCGCCGGCCTGCAGTGGATTTTGATCAAAGAATTGGCCAGTGGCTCGTTAAGGAGAGAGAGAGAGAGAGAGAGAGATTTTTAAAAGAGAGAGACACGGAGAGAGGCAAAGAGAGATGTCAACAAAAAGAGACATAGAGAGAGAGAGAGGACAGAAAGAAAAAGAGTGACAGAAAGAGATAAGGGGACAGAGACCGGGCGATAGACAGATATACAGAGAGGCAGAGACCAAGAGAACGACAGAGATAGAAAGAGAACTAGAGAGAGGGGAAAAGAGTGAGAGATGGAGATAGAAATAGAAG